ATCACGATTTATAAATCTTCGTTAACAAGCTAAAAATTCTTTTACTCCATATTTCCTAGAGGTCAAAAAACTTTTCCTGCGTTTATGAAATGCTGAGATATTTGCGAAACTCCGGACCACAGGTGTATGCAATAGAGAACGAACACGCGCTGTTGTTCTTACCGGGGAGCAGCGCTGATAGAACTAGCTGAGAGACATGCAAAGCGAAGGACCTGGATGGTGTAGTGGTGAAGTGCGCTGCTCCCCGGTAAGGACAACAGCGCGTGTTCGTTCTCCATTGCATACACCTGTGGTCCGGAGTTTCGCAAATATCTCAGCATTTCATAAAAGCAGGAAAAGTTTTTTGACCTCTAGGAAATATGGAGTAAAAGAATTTTTAGCTTGTTAACGAAGATTTATAAATCGTGATGGATTTTACTTAAAGGGATAATGTTACCGTAAGCCGAGACATTTGTTTTTAAAATTGAAAAGTTAAATTAGATTTGAAGGTATGTTCATTGAAATTATTGTAGATGGTTGCAAATTTGTTACATAGTAGGTGGATACGGGATAAAATCCTCAACGTTGATGAGTTACACTGATATACCTTTTCACATTCATTTTGAAGCTGTTTATAAAGTCGGATATGACATTAGATGTTGATTTGGCCTCTTATGTAGTCATCGAACTCGGTACTTCCTCATGGCAGCGATCGAGCCAGTGATCGTGTGCTTTGCTAGTGGAACCTTGTTTCGCTACACCACACCGTTTTCGAGCAGGATAGTCGGAGGTTGCAATTGTTGAAGGTCATCCGTTTCCAGGGTGACGTTGTACGCCGAATTCCTGCCGACACGACACCGCGCCAAGTGCGTGGTGTTGATCGAGTCCTTCTGGGCGATCGGGGCCGCCTTTGAAGCGTTGCTCGCCTACCTCGTCATGGCCACGTGGGGTTGGCGAGCGCTCGTCATCCTCTCGTCGCTCCCACTTGGACTTTTCGGAATTCTCTCATTTGTGAGTATTTCAGTGATCTCTGCGTGTTACTGTTTCTGAACGTTGAGGTAGGACAGACCTCAAACCTCAAAGATGTAGGACAATTTTTTGAAAGTGCACGGTTGAAAGGTACTTTAAACATAGTGAAAAGAAATCTGTTTATAGTGGCTTCCTGAATCATCTCGTTATGACATGGCATCCGGTCGCCCAGAAAAGGCGATGGCAACCCTAACAAAAGCTGCAAAAGAGAACCGGGTCAATCTTCCCGAAGGACGGCTTGTTGCCAGCACTACCAAAGTTGTAAGTACGATAAGGGATTCGTCAGAAAACCCTTGACAGTTTTTTGAAGTCTTTTCGTTTTCACGAAGAAGTGATAAAGAAAACGAATGTGTCTTGAGGAGTAGTATTAGTTCAATGCACAACTTCGGCCTCAATATCACTTCTCTTAGTACCGTTTATCATAACATTGTATTCTTATGGCTTTCCTTTCTCATTTTTTCCTTTTTTTTATTAGCTATCTAGACCATATCCTAGCGACTTTGAGATAGTGGTTTGGTTGTCCTTACCGGGGAGCAGCGCGTGTTGGTCCCCAGTGCATACACCTGCGGTCCGGAGGTTTGCAAATATCTCAGCATTTCATACGAGTTATATTTCGCAACATACCCTGTCATTAAGAAGAGAAAGGCAGTAAATAAAAGGGTTAAGATAGTGGTTTGGTTTAAAGTGATATTTGTACAGAGTCATATGAACAGCGAATTTTTTAAGTGAAGAGTGTACCGGTTTACAAAAAAGAAATGCTTAGTCTGTTGACGGTCGTGATCCACCTTCACAAATCGTTCATAGCGAGATCGTCGACCACGCTGTTCGCTTATCTCATTAATGACCATTTCGAAGTGAATGTTTTGCACCTGTATTCCTGCTTGATATTGAGTTTGTCAGTTGTAGCCCAGAAGACGTTTCTGGAGAGGATTGTTCGTGTGATTCTGGACGTAACTGAGCTGTCATTCTTCATCTTCGCCACATAATGAAGCCCTGGGAGGATCGTTTAGTCAAGAATGTTAGCACGAGTGTTAGTGTCCGTTACTTGTTTGCTGTTTTGTACAATTAGAACAAGGCCCAATCTTCCCTGCTTTTTCGATAAAGTGTCATTTTCCATATTCGGTGAACACCATTGGTTTTCTATAAAAGACGATATACTTTCTATAACCAAAAATCCCTTATTTTCGACTCCTTTACTTTCACACTATGGCTTCTGGTTCTTCTTCCACCATTTCTACACTGTCCTTACCTTATTCCTATTTCTTTGGGCTTCTTCAGCACGTTTTCGTCTTACTAAATTAGGAGCATAGTTATCTCAGAAAACATGACAACGTTGTCATCGAAAGAAGATTTGGTAATTTTCCATCAGTTCGTGGCTGTATCCTTCCAAATCGTGCAGTTTCATGGCCAGTTACGGCATTAAGCACTTACGACGGATAGTGTAGCAATGTCAGTCCATTTAGAAGATAGTAGAGGGATTACCACCTACGAATCGCGGACCAAATCAGGCTTGGTCAATAGGACCATCGGGTAATACTTGCAAGGAGTCCTTTGGTTACTTTTCTTGTGCAGAAAGACCATGAGTGATGTGCACCTCTGGTTTGAGATCTTTCCTTTCCGGAGGTTTTTCCCGTGCGTGCTGCTAAAAGTGCTTCCACATCGAATGAAGTTTTCTGTGATGTTTTCTTGTTTGAGAACAGTGCCAATTGGTCTTGTCGTTAACAACCATAATTAGTTCTACTGTATATCATATACCTATCTTGTAATAGTTCCATCCTTGTTCGCCAGAGTAGATAGTGAAATGCTGTACTCACGAGGGTCTCTACTGAATTCCTTTAGACTACATTTTCTGAGCTACTTTCAACAGCTTTTTTTCGCTGCTAAGTTTTACATTCGGCATTAGCATCAGTTACCTTCTTTACTCGAAGATGGGATTCCGGATAGAAATTTCTTTATTATCTAGGGAAATCACTCGAGGTAAACTCACTGTTATTTATCGCAGCTTTAAAACCTGGTATACCTTCAACTAGAATGTGACGGTGAACAGTTCGAAGAAAGTACGTCTTTTCCTATTTTTACACGACCCGACGTGAAACAGTGTGCAGATTCCAGTACTACCTTCATTAGATTCATGTCCGCGAATCCATCGTCTACGAACGCCTTCCGATTTTTGCGATGAGTTCGGCTTCTGCTTGAGGATTTTTGCTATTCTTCGCGAATGTCATTAGGGGCTGACTGACCTTGTTTTTCCCGTTTTCCCTAAAATCCCGGCTAGTTGTGCTTGGGCGTTTCCAGGCCTTCGTCACAGGCAATCGATAGCTTTTATAGAATGGACTGATTGTGGGCAAGTATGGCATCAGTTTCCCAATCCAGTAAGAAGGAGATCTTTGTTGGCTTGGGTTTGGGTTGAATGAGAGCCTTGGCCGTATTGGAAACACCACTCCTCCTGTGAACTAAATGACTATGGTTAAGTATATGAATTAACAAATGAATAAATGTAAATATGCAGATAATCATCATGCTTTTTTGCAGATCGAACAACGCGGTGGGATCTCAAACCTTCTATCGCAGGACTATCGCAGTACCACGCTGCTGTTGTGGTTTATATGGGCGGTGAACGCCTTCTCGTACTACGGTATGGTGCTGTTCACTACCGTTCTCTTCCAATCGCATGACGAATGCCATGGCGGACTTTTCTCCAATGGCACGCAGCTAGAGTCTTGCCAGCCACTCACCAGAAAGGACTACTTTGACCTGCTATCTACGACCATGGCTGAATTTCCAGGTCCACTGATGATTTGCTTTAAACATCCTGGAACTTCTTTAACACATTCGCGATAGTTCGATTATTCCACAGCTACCAGTAATATCTCAGCGCAAACACTTTCGCCGTTGAGAACTTGGGAAGCCAACAGAAGAAGTCTTCGCAGTGATTTGTATGGATATGAATGCTTCTTGTACTTTTCAACTTGCTTCGATATTCGGATTCTCAAGGCTCAAGATCTTTAAGATTTTTGGAGCAGTCCACCGACCGCTTAATGCATTCGCATGGATGCACCATGAAGTCCAGCTGGACGGAATCCCGGTCGTCTAATCGCTTCGTGATTCGGCATATAAGGTACACGGCACAAAAAAAACGATCAGTGAATAGTGATAACGACAGCCTACTTGATACTTGAATGACCCATCGTCACTGGTTGTGCGGGCCCCAGCACAATCTCCATTTTTCGGAGATTTGCTGGTTAAGCCATTATGGTATCCTGGTGTTCCAAGGTCAGCCTGGCCAAAGTATGCTCCAGCTCTTCACCACCATGGGCAGTTGCAGCCCTTGTGGATCAGAGGGAGATTTACTACCATGCGACCTTGATACCAGGACGGTGGTGAATCCTGGTATCAGTTTACTCTTAGCTAGGTTTCTTGATGGAAACGTCGTACTCCTTCTCAGCTTGAGAAACCCAGTCAGGGGATTAATCCCCCGCTGTAGATCGCAGTCCGACACCCAGAAACACCTCCCGGCCACGATGAGGCGGTAAACCGTTGGGAGGATAACGACAGCAGAGGAGAAAATTAAAAATAATGCTGCAGAAAATCCGATATAACTTTTTGGCAAAGGTATTTAGATTTCAGCTCGTTTCTTTCAATTGATAAAGTTCTCTATCAGCTGAGGTGTTCGTCTATAGTTGGTAGGCTGAGTTATTATTCCGCACTAACGCGAATGTGCTGAAAAAGTGTGCCAGTAAGTTTTCCACAGTTTTTTATATTCAAGAGTTTAATAGGATCAATTATTTGGTGCTTTTTAGAAATAAAAATGTTTAGTTTTTTAGAAAATCACTTTCCATATCTCTTCCACAATATTTGTTTTTTTTCGAAAACAGTGCCTTCTTTAAGGAATTGGCAGCGAACCTGGGTTTTCTAAACCAGACGATTACTTGAGACTTGATCCTTGAATGGCCCGTCCTCACCGGTTGTGCGGGCCTCAACATAATCTCCATTTTTCGGAGATTTGCTGGTTAAGCCATTATGGTTCCCTGGAGTCCCGAGGTCAGCCTGGCCAAAGTATGCCCCAGGTCTTTACCACCATGGGCAGTTGCTGCCCTTGTGGATCAGAGTGAGATTTGCCACTTTGCGACTTTGATACCAGGACGGTGATGGATTCGGGTATTGGTTTACTCTTAGCTAGGCTTCCTGATGGAAACGCAGGACTCTTTCTCAGCTTCGGAGACCCTACCAGGGGATGGATCCCTCCGCTATACATCGCAGCCCGCCATCGAGGAACAACTCCCAGTCACGATGAAGCGGTAAACCGTTGGGAGGACCAGATGATTACTTTTTCTTTAATATAGTAGAAGACATAAGAACATTATGGCTCGAAGAAGAACTTCATTGTCTCGAAGGAATGTGTGGTTTTTAGGAATTAGAACTCTTAAACAATAGGGAATACCATGATACCATGCTGAGCGAGGTCCTACTTCTTCAAATACTTCTGTCTTCGAAATACGAACATCGGCGAGCAAAGAAGTCTAAGAAATATGTGTCGTAGACTCCAGAAAATCAGAATTTCATCTTGGTTTAACTTGATAACTTGTATCTTGTAGCCAATAATGTATAGATTCAAGTGGCTCTTATCTCAACCAATACAATTCAAGTGGATGCGTGTAGCGCAGTGCTTAGATGTGGACTACAATACACGCGTGGTCCCTGGTTCAATCCACCACCCCATGCTCATTAGGCTTCCATCCCAGCGGATGCCGCCGTTAGTCATTGTATAGGCCGGATAATGAGCATTCATCGATCTTTAACGATGCTTAATGAAGTCGCATGCACCTCGCAGGGATTTATCAGCGGCGACAGTTTTGTCCTTTTACGCTTTATAGTTCATTATGAGCTGATATATGTTAGCTTGAAGTCGGAAGGCGTCAATATCTTCGCACCAAACAGCAATTCATCCATTGTCCCAACAGCAGCATTGAAATTAATGCGCATCGTCCCACATGTCCCGCATGTGTTAAATGACTCCGATCACATGGAAGTTTTTAGTTGGTACATATAATCCTTCACGTAATTTCCACTTTTTGTTTTTATTGGTTTTGACATGTTTTCATTAGTTTTTTCTTTAGGTTTGTTAATCACAGTTGTGGTTATCGAGTGGTTTGGTAGAAAGAAGACGATGGCACTGGAATTTGCTCTCTTCTCTCTGTTCACTTTCGCTCTGTACTTTTGCCTCGACAGGTAAACAAGCGGTCGAATTCCTGTTACCTACAAAGTTATAGAAAAAATGGTTTTTGACTGCTTACCGCTTTTCATTTCTCACACGGTACTTAATATTTTCCATGACCAAATTTTTCATTGTTGTCCTTCCAGGTTCACCGTAACCACTATGATTTTTGTTGCTCGTGCGTTCATCTCAGGTGCATTTCAATGCGCCTACGTCTACACTCCAGAGGTACAATAACCACGTTAGCTCAAATATTCTTATAAACTGACATATTTGATTATGAAGGGTAAAGGATAAGCGTTCGACGTTGATAAATACCTGAGAGATACACTATGAATTCGATTCCACCACACGGGAATATTACTTAGTTGGTTCATATAATCCTCCGAAACTGGTAATATTAGCATAGTGAACCTTTTCGTGTAGTGATTTCCACTTCTGGTTGGTTTTTTTGCGGTATCCATAAAACAGTGACGGGAAGCTGTCTCGTTCTGATGTAGTTTCACTGAGTTCTCATGTATAATAGGCCCACTCCCGATCGCTGAAAGGATTCCGGTGTTCGTTGCAATAATGTTAAATGCTTTCTCTAAATCAGAAGGTGTTAATGTAAAATATAGTGGGAACGTTTCTCCTTCTTTTTTGTTGATTTTTCGCGGAAACCACCCTAGATGATTTTCTGCGATCGCAACTACGGTTCGGACAGAGCTTGTTCACGCATGAGAATCATTGTCAGACTCGTTCCTGCTCGGTAGATTCTGCATACTCACAAACGCTTGATAAGTATCATAGGTTAATTTCATGAAGAACGACTGAAGCAAACTCAAAAGGGTTACGATTAAGATTAAATTCAACGATGGTTACGCGAACTTTCTCAGATACTGCTCGTTTGAGATCCTTCCTTTTGAATTGTGCACTGTTCGGTCTTCTTGTTCACACCGTGTCGTTCTATTTCGAATAATATTACCACTGATATCAATTTTTGAACCAGAAGCTGTGCTGCATGGTCTTAATCAGAACCCAAACGTCTGAACGAAGAATCTAAAGGTAGTTGTTTTCAGAGTGAATTTCGTGGTCTTTAAGGTGGTTTTTGAGCGGGAAAGATCGTTGCAAAGGAAATATTATGGTTTGGTTTCCATCGACACGGCAAGCATAAAAATAAAAAAAGCTCTCGGTGTTGATCAATCCTTGAGGGATGTGCCATGCATTCGACTTCACTAAGCATCGTTTGGAGGTAATTGAATACATAACCCGCCTCTACAGTGACTTGCGGTGGCCTATCGATGTATCGAGCCAGCGCTGCTGTCCTCCCAGACAAGGTACCAATTTACCGACTTCGGAGAGATGGAGGGCTTGGTGGGCCATGAACGCTGAGATCGATTGCACGTGTGTGTTGCAGAGCGCCTCCGACCAATGGCAAGCATACATAGAAAAAATTCCCTAGAATGTAATTCCTAAGACCGACTTTCAATTAACCTCTGATTGATGAATAACTCGCTATTTTCTTGATTAGCACACACGAGGTTGTTATTACAAAGTATTTATTCACAAGACCTTATGTTTCGGCGGATTTTATATTCTTAAGGGCCTGGAAGGGCGAAGTTAACCACATCGTTTTTATTTTGTACGACTCTTCAGGTCTACTGTGCGGATCTCGGCACTTCTCACATTCGATTCCTTTTCTCGCTTCCATTGTCCACAAAGGTCTTCAAACTTTTACGTGCGGCTTCGGCTCCTACTTGAGGATTTTCGTTTCTTCCTGAATGCCGTAGAATGCTGGTCGAGTCGATTCTCCCTGGTGTCTTGAAATACCCGGCCTGGAACGTTCCCAATTGTATTGCAGAGGATGACTTTTCCCAGACAAGTCCGATGCCAGTTTACTGACTCCGGAAGAATGAAAGAGTCGGTGGACCTGAAGCATGATTGAGAACTATCAGCGTATTCGTAATGATTAACATCACTATCACTATGCTATCCTCTCCTAACTGAAATACTGTTGGTATTTCCCAACTGTTGTACTATGACTGCCCATTCAGAGTTCAGCGAGCAGGCTAATAATTGTTTCATGGAATTATTTAGAATCCGAATAACTGAAAATCCATTAATGAATCATTTAAACCATGTATTGAGGAATAGCTCAAATTGGACCTACTCCTTGGTCCACAAGTCATCTCCCGAAATAAACTGTCGACAAGCGCTGGTTTTATGCGAGTATAACATACTAGTGGAGAGTTCCCAGGATCGACTTTCTATTAACCTCGGCATTGGAAGATGAATGCGTCGTTTTCCTGTTCAGCAATCGCGAGGTTTTTAAACAGCATACATTTACTTCCATAGAAAAGACAATACAATACAACACTAGCTGATGTTTCGGCAGTATCGCCTTCTTCAGAGCCTGAAAGGGTATACCGATATACAATCTACTAAGCCAAACGCTTCAATGACACTTACAAAAAGACGAAAAACTCTCCGGTAATTACATAATCAACAACTTCTCGAAAAAACCCACCGCTTTTTCGTGACTTCCAATGAGGAAGGTTGGAACAGCTGATTATAGTCGCATGTGGTTGACGACTGCACCATCCCACATCAAAAATCGATGCGAACATACGGGGTCAGGTCGCGTATGACCTCCGGGCATTCATCCCCGCTATTCATTGTAGGGTTTTTGGCATTTATCCAAAAATGTTTCACACATACGGTCATGCAGACGGCTGCGAACTAATTGGCGACGTAGAGTAGCCGGTGGTATTTTAACTATCGCTACCGATTCCTCTAGACCTGCCCTTCTTAAGCATCGTTTTATAGCTACGCTTACTTCATCGCTATAAAAGGCAACATAAACAGGACTTTCTTTTGGCCAAGTGTTTTGCGTGGGCTCGTCGCTCTCCTTCTAAACTTATCTCATGGGGTTACTATTTCGTAGCCATTGGAGATGGCTGTTTGCCGAGCGCGTAGGTTATTGTAGTTGTTAAGTCATACAACACGTAGTCATTATTATTATTGCGTAATTTGCCCTTACGGCAGGGACGGTGATTGCATGAGTTCAGGTACGATATACCTGATCTCTTGTAATAATTGCGGAGATGAATATATTGGCGAAACGGGCAGACCTTTGTGTATCCGCATAAAAGAACACCTAGATGGCAAACGAAAACTGAGACGAAGCACCCCACTAGGCACGCATAGGATACAAAAGCATAGCGGAGACGATTTTGAAGTAAAAGTCAATATCCTTGCACAGGAGTCCAAAACACCAGCGCGAAAACTCCTTGAGGCTTTTTGGATAAATGCCAAAAACCCTACAATGAATAGCAGGGATGAATGCCCGGAGGTCATACGCGACCTGACCCGGTATGTTCGCATCGATTTTTGATGTGGGATGGTGCAGTCGTCAACCACATGCGACTATAATCAGCTGTTCTAAACTTCCTCATTGGAAGTCACGAAAAAGCGGTGAGTTTATCGAGAAGCTGCTGATCATGTAATTACCAAAGAGTCTTTCGTCTTTCTGTAAGTGTTATTGAAGCGTTTGGCCTAGTAGATTGTATATCAGCATACCCTTCCAGGCTCTGAAGAAGGCGATACTGCCGAAACGTCAGCCAGTGTTGTATTGTATTGTGTTTCTCTACGGAAGCAAATGTATGTTGTTTAAAAACCTCGCGATTGCTGAACAAGAAAACGACGCATTCATATACTAGTGGAGAGTTTGTATTCAGTTTTTTGCCCAAAAAGAAACATGGCATGTAAAAGTATTTCGATAAAAATTCATTTGAACAAGGAAATCCCAATCTAAAATTTGCATCTCGTTAGATTTTTTCTTTATATTTTTTCTTAGGTCTATCCAACGACCTTGCGAGCTGTCGGTCTGGGCGCCTCATCCGCCATGGGGCGAATCGGAGCGATTTTCACGCCATTTGTGGCGCAGGTGACTTTTTGACAACAAACTTGAATACAATGCTTTTATTGAACATAGCACCAAATGAATGGTATTAGTAAATGAACTGTCTAACCGACTGGCTGGAAAAAATTTGACATGATCAAACGCGCGGAAATTAAGCGGCTTCGGAAAAACGATAAGCAGGGGTGGCCATTTGCCTTTCCTCTAGCTACTTTCAATCAATTTTTTTCTGGTTCTTGATAATCGTCGAATGGTAGCGAAGTTTCTTCCTTCTTCTTGATATGGGTTTTAGGCAAACTAACGCAGTTCTCATCGAGAAACTTTGAGTTTAGAAATGTTCCTTATGTATACCTGCATATCACGGAAAGATTATGAGATGGCTTTTATTAAAACTTTAACGCTTCAAATAGCTTTCGAATATTGAAGGATGTCAGAAACGAATTAAACCCAAGAAAGTAAAACTATCATAATCGGAATACAAACAACGCTGGCTTGGTCATATGATGTTCCAGTAACGTTCGCTCTACTTAATGGTTTTTGATGACTCAGAAAATTGCTTACTGAAGCGAAAAATTCAACGCTCCATTCCTTCTTTTTCGTTTGCAGGTGGCATCGGAGAGGTCACTTTCATTACCGATAGGAATATACGGCACCACAGCACTGCTAGGTCTGATAGCTGCCCTTTCATTACCGATTGAAACGCGAGGAAGAAAAATGCAGGTGAGCTGACTCCTAATCTCATCGCGTACTTCATTTCATTTTCTTTTTTCTTTTCTGTTATATTGTGCTCATCTTCCATTATCTCTTATTTTTCTACCAATATTTCTTTAGTAAACATCTTTTCAGGATTCTCATTGACTTAACGGAGCTGTCTTATCACCGTCCGGTCGCTGCTGTGCTGTCTTCTGTGAGAGCTGATTTCTTCAGAACAAGCGTATAATTCTATCCTCTTAGGTTTCGGTGCAGGGTTCAGTCCCATTTTCTCTTTTTATGTGTTTGACCATGAACATGTCGTCACTGTCAGACCGGTATGAAGTCACTCTTTCTGATCCCATCGAGGGTGGTAAGGTTTTCTATAACATATTATTTGTAGAATTAGAAAATAAGTATGGGAGACAAATTTTCGTTAGGACCTGGATTACATGAACTAGCGCTATCTTTGCCGATTTGTGATTTCACAAGTGCTGTCCGTGATTGCGTCTTAATGAGATCATTCTCGTTGACTTTTAATAGAATCTCTCTTTTCCAACTATTACGAACTGCAAAGTTTAGTAAAAATGAATAAATTTATATATATATATATATATGTGTACACTTACGAGTACATGTTTTCATCAGCAGTCAATCGCCTTCTAAACACTACTAAACACTAAGCTCAGAAAGTATCGAATCCAAGTTGAGAAATTGAAGCAGAAGTGAGTCGAGATGCCATAAGTCGAAAAATTCAACTTGTCGATGGCTTTCCACGAAATCCAGACCGGTCGACTGCAAAATTGAAACGTGTAGAAAAGAGCCAGTTATGTGTGATCAAGGACTATGCGACCAGTTACGATCACTTGTCATGAACGATTTCCAGTGATTTTAACATGTTTGTAACAATCAAGTAGGGTATATTTCTAGAAATGAGCACTTACGAATATAGAATTGAGGAGCAGAATAATTGAGCCCATTCGTTCAGCAGGATAGATATTATTCTGAATGTCATAAATTTAAACTAAGAATATGGTCCAAAGCGAAGCACTGAGCTTAGTTCCAGAAAATATGGTAAGGAATCTTTTTGTCTTATTGTTGTGAATTCACAACACCAAGTTCCTTCGTTTTTCTCTATAGAAATGCTACTCCATAACCCTGGTACCAAGTTATTCATATCCGACTTCAAGGTGCACGAATTAAATTCCGTAGAGATCGTATTTGCCTTTCGAGGATTGAATTTGCACAAAGAAAAGTCAAGGGGAAAATGACATATAAGTGAACAACTTAGTCCAGGGACTAAGCTAAGTGCAGTTCTCGGTCCACTTAGTGGCGCACTGGGTCGCTGTGCTTCATCTCTTGTTGGTCGATGAACAGATACGCTAAGGCGTTGTAAATATGGCGAGTGGTAGTGGTCACCTGGAGTAGAGCAGATCTGCATCGTTCCTTAACCATTAGGCGACGAAGCTGGTTTTTCGAAAACAGGTAACTATTTTTCCACTAGTAGAGTAGTAGAGGAGTTCAAGATAGCATATATTTATAGAAGAGACTTTGCTCTAAAAGAGTTTACACAAGTTTTGTGAGGTATCCATTCAATTTTAAATACCCTTAGAATTAAAGTTCCAAAAGTGAAGATTAGACCTAAATTTTTAAAATTTCCCGCGCAAGCGCACTAGTCTCAAAACCAGCAATGAGTTGGAGAGTGATATGTGTTGGACGAATTCCCGCTCGTTCGATTCTTTTCGTAGTCGCAACACGAACGTCGACGAAGTAGCATGGAAAATCTGCGTTTCATGAGGTTCAGAAAATCAGTTTCATCACGGTAAAACAAGAAAACAGGCAAGATGTCGGTAAGCACATGTTTCTTGCAAGAGCCCTTTTCGTGTGAGAGGGGTGAGAGGAGAGGATGAACCAAGATGTTTTTACGACTTCGTTTTCGGTATCACTTCGTAATGTAGCCGTTTGCAAATTCCAAAGGTTTTCATTGCAATTAATAAAGCTTACTATGAGCCAGGACGTGTGTACCGCAGTAGTTAAAGATGTCGTGCAATACGCACGTAGTCCTTGGTTCGATTTCGCATTCCAAGTTAACAAAGCCGACCATCGCTCCGATTTCAGCAAATCGATGGCAAATTTGTCTAGGAGTATAAGAAAACTGGCTTGGTATTACATTAAACGACAGATTTGCATTCAGTCACCTCCAACGATGCTTGATGAAGTGGAGTTCATGGCGCACCACTCAGGGATTGATCAACGCCGAACACTACCCCTTGTCATTATGAGCCGAAATATGTTATTTGGAATGGAAATATGTTACGTTATATAACATGGTCGGACCTATCATCAACTGTGTAGGTAGGCCAACGGAAAGAGTAACCTGGTTTGTAACCCTAATACTTACCCAGTTGTTAAAGTGCATTCCAACCCATCTAACGAACACCCAGATGTTCCTGGACCGTCTACGTAACGCGCGACCCAACAGCGCGTACGTGATAGAGTCCTTCGACATCGCCGCCCTCTATACAAACGTGTCGAATGACTCCGCTATGCAAGTCATATTCGAACTCCTTATACAATACGAAGGAGCAGTAAACATGTATGGCTTAACGGTTCAACAGTTGATAACGCTCTTCAAGGAGTGCCTAAACTGCACAATCTTCAGATGGCCCGGGAGGTACTACGCACAAATGAGAGGGCTGGCAATGGGACAACGACTGGCACCAAGCCTTGCCATTGCATTAATGTCTAAGGTGGAAGCGCCAGTAATCGATCTCTGGCCATTACTCTGCTGTAGATATATAGACGACTGTTTTGTCATTTGCTCAACACAAGAGGAAATGGACAGGTGTTTCGAGTTGCTGAATGCAGTCAGAGTATATCAAGTTCACTTGAGAGAAACCGAAAGAAAAATGGCTTCCATTCCTGAACGTCTAAATTAACCTATCAGAAAACGGCTACATTACGAAGTGATACCGAAAACCAAGTAGTAAAAACATCTTGGTTCATCCTCTCCTCTCACCCCTCTCACACGAAAAGGGCTCTTGTAGGAAAAATGTTTCGAACAGCAGTCAACGTGTGCACGGGAAGAGAGCAGAGAGAGTAGTCCCGGAACTTGACACGGCAAATAGCAACTTCTAATGGATACGAAACTGTAGCTCGGGAGTGGTGTAGGGAAATCCCAAGCCCCCAAACGACAACTCTAGCAATAAAAAGGTCCCGTTTATCCTACCCTTCATCTCAAATGATGTAAAAATGATGTAAGTGCAGCTACACAACGCTGCTTAAGAGGGGAGGGTCTAGAGAATTCAGTGAACGTAGTTAAAATGCCACCGAGCACTCTTAGGCGCCAGCTAGTTCGTAACCGCCTATATGACCGTCTATGTGCAACGCAAAATCGCATAATTTGCCCCAATGGTAGAGACGGTGAATGCATGAGCTCGGGTACAGTTTATCTGATCTCCTGTAAGGCGTGTGGAACGAATACATTGGCGAAACGGGTAGACCACTCTGCGTGTCGATAAAAGAACACCTAGTCGGCAAACGTAAACCATATACTCCACTAGGCACGCACAGGACCCAGAGACATAACGGGGAGAACTTTGAAGTACGTGTCACGATCCTCGTACAAGAATCGAGAACACAAGCGCGTAGAACTCTCGAGGCGTTCTGGATTAATTCCATAAATCGGAAAATGAACCGCAGAGAAGAATGCCTTATTATCACGAGTGATATGCGGCAGTATATAAGCCTGTTATTCTGATGGGAGTGGCACATTACGCTTCGAGGTGAATTCTGTGTGGTTGGTATCCAGCCGACATACTCAGTGGAAGACTCATAGAAAGCGGTGAGTGTGTAAAGA